AAGGACATAGAATAATTTTTATCCCGGAAGTCATCCATTAAGGCGGTGAAAATGGGGATGAAAGTTTGTATGGGGAATAAATCCAGGGATGAACCCGAGCGAAGCGAGGGTGAGTCGTTAGTATTATTATAATATTGCTATTAAAATATCATATGAACGTATACATACTGTTAATAATTATTTCCTAGTTTTCTTTCCTTCCGCTATTGAGGTAGAGTTCTAAGAGTAAGAGTTTTTGTCGCGATAGAGAAAGGACGGTTACAAAATGATTACCATTATCACTAGCAAAAGCTAGTATTCGAACACTGTTATTACTTACATGAAGTAAAAGAGGTGTGTAATTCTCATAATTCCAGTATTTTACTCGTATTCATTCATGTGTCACGTTGTGAGTGGCGTCTTTATGTAACCTTCATTTTTTACCTACCTTTATTGAATTGATTTATTGGTAAACTGAAAATCTAGATAAAATGGCCCAAAAAATCCGAAAGGAAAGTTTTATTTAAAATAACTACAAAATTTTAAAATTGATTTGGATATATGGTGTAAATATCTATTTAATTATTAATTTTTCATATTATAATGGGTAAATAGGATATAGTGTTTTGGTTAATTAATATTATTATTAAATATCTATACAGGTAAATAAAATTGAAGTATCTGTTTGTAATGTCAAAATAACAACTTTTCACTGAATGCATATGAAAGTATATATGGTATACACAATTTTAAAATTTTGGTCTGTCTGTCCGTTTGTTCTGGCTAATCTCCGAAACGGCTGGACTAATTTTGACGGGACTTTCACTGGCAGATAGCTCATGGTATAAGGAGTAACTTAGGCTACTTTATTTTAGAAAACTAATTAGGTGTCCTCGCAAAAAAAATTAAAACGTACCATATCCGAGCGAAGCGATGGTCAATCGCTAGTTATTTAATAAATCAACTAAACTCAAACTAGATAATAGGTGCCTACTCTAAAATTGATGATACATTTTAAGTGATTTCTAATTTCCTTTTTCAATTAAATATTATTTGTAAGTTCATTACAAATTAAAGCTTTAATAGACTTTTTACGAAAGTGGTAGTAAAAGTTTATTTAAAGTAATCAAAATAGGCTTTCCGCAAACCCCATATTTTCATTATGAACAATGAATCTGGATGTAATAGCAATAAATGTGTGTTGAATATAAAAAAAACTTTATTTTCTTATATTTTTTAACCATCTCTCTAACGGCAAAAGATAAATATTATGATAATACAAGCGACTTGCCGTCGCTTCGCTCGAGTGCATCCATACTCCTTAGATGACTAAGTGCGTTTTCCAAATTATACGCTATTAATAAACTATATTGAATCTAAATCCGTCCAACCGTTTCAGCGTGAAAGAAAAACAAACATACACACAGACAGGCGCAAAGGGACACATCCGATCGAAACGAGACTAATTCATTAGAAAATATATAAGCTTTTAGCTAGTTCAATTCAATTCTTTGTTCTGTAGCTTTTAAGCTCAAAACTAGACCAAAAATAAACATAAAAAAAAATGACAGATGTCATTTCTGACATTAAAATAAATTGATCTCCACATAAAAAAAATGTATAATATGTTCTACCGAAGCGAGTACTAAACAACAGGTGCACCCACAATTATAATATCTAGTTTTAAACTAAAGGTAAAAAGAAGCGATGAAATATCGATCAGGTTATATAAGAAGGGATAATAAATCCCAACGGTACTAAATAGAAAAACATAATTGCTCCAAGCGCGAACCGAACCCACGACTTTTAATTAGCCTGCAATTAACAGGATCGTTAAATATTAATTATTATTACGCATTGCTGGAAATTATTGGATAAAGGTTTTCAATACCGGCGTTGATTCACGATACGTCTCGTAAATTTTCCCTCACAATGACTAATAAAATCGAATTGCATAATTTGTCTATTTATACAAGTTGATTTATCTAAATATATATTGTTATCGTATAAAATGTATATTTGGTCAGCTTCTTTAATGTCCCACTGCTGGGCACAAGCCTCTCTGTAAGGAATATTTAAGTTTTAAGTATAATCAACTTGCCCTTTTGAAAATTAGTTAGGTTCTCTCAGACATGTCTCCTCAAGATTTTTCCTAATCGTATTATCAATGGTCTACTAAATAAATATGTTGGGACAAATATGTTGAGACATTAACACACAGCACCATCTAGTTCCATTGTAAGCTACGAGGCCTGTGTTATAGATACAAGATAGTTGATACACTACACATACCTATATAGCGTTTTAAATACATACATATTATAAATAAATATACACATCCATGACTGGAGTACAAACATTTATATTCATCACAAAAGTGTCCCCACAGCGGGACTCGAACCCGCGACCGCTGGCACAGTAAGTAGGGTCACTACAAACTAAGCCAAACGTGCCGTCAAAATACAAATATTAGGTACAATAATAAACTTAATACTAGGTATATAACTTAATATTATGCTTACTGTACTTAAAAAACAACTCGACCTATACAACATATGTACATGAAACAAAACTAACACAGAGACTAGCCAAGACGAGAAAATTCGATAAATCGGTGATAGATCAGGATCTATCACCGGTTTATCGAATAACAGAAATATAAAGGACTGGGGTGAAACACCACCAACTTTCGAACACCGGGCTGTTCAACAAACACTTTCTAAAGAGAAAAACTCAATAACTAAACTTGATCCTACCAGGGACTCGAACCTAGGATCTCCAGAACAGCAACCATCCATTCTATCCACTAGACCACCAAGGCAGTTTAATAATAATATATTTAGGTTACACAAATAAACCTTTAGTTTTTCTCATACGTGACAAGTACATATTACTTCCGAACTGGTTTCAATTAAGCACCTAATAACTCACTTTCTACGTAAATCTATTACGCTGGGCAAAGATTAATGTTCTGTACTTGGAAACTGGTTTACGACATTAATAAAGGTACACCCAATAAAATAACTCGGTTGGTATTTTATAAGGCGATTTCTAATTATCCATATGTACATATATAAAAGAAGTCTGTATTGTCTGTACGTAATAATAATTATAATAACCTCCCGACCGACTTCGGCCACGGCGGGCAGTCTCATTGAGACTAGCCATCTGCGCAGGAGATATTATAGAGCACAGGTGTACGCGCAGACACAAGTGCACTCTCTATTTCTGTCACTCTCGTACTCCGGTGGGAAGTCTGCTCGACACGACCGGTGAGAGTTAAAGCACAGGACCGACGGCTGTACGTGCTTTACTGAGACTAACTAAACAGAAAGACTCCATAACTAAACTTGGCCCGACCCGGAACTTAAACCTAGGACCTCTCGATGTGCAGCCGTACTTGCTAGCCACTACACCACAAAAGCAGTTAAACATATAGTATACTTTTTACTGCTGGAAAATATCTCATCTCTAAGAAATCTACACTAAACGTTAAAACTTAATTAAGAATGAACTCGAGCGGGGCGAAGGTGAGTCGCTAGTTAGAATATTTATTAATATAATAATAATATTAAAATAATATTTATATTGCCAGTAACAGTTGTAGATACATATTGTTATACTATACTTTAATTATGGGTTGAAAATATTCATATTATGTATACTGAAATTACCGACTTATCCTCGTCTCGGTCGTGTGAGTCCCTAAGTTCGTTTAATATATGTAGATGAGAATAGTTATTGTGATCGTACCTTAGGAGATCGAAAAATGCTACCGCGGACTTTTCCATAGGACTTATTAAGACCTACACCTTTTCAGTACATTGTTTTGATGTATCTCTAAAGGTTTAGACAGCGTTAAACCCAAAACCGCTCTTTTTTGAAAAAAAAATCGTCTAGGCTCAAAGATTTTGTACAAAATATTTACAATTTATGTACATAAACCTTCCTTGTTTTTGCTCTTATTATTAATGACAACCATATCAAAACCTGTTACGTGGTTTAGAAGAAGTAAGCGGATAAACAAGAACAAACAGACGCAGATAGCAACTTTGTTTTATGCTATTTATATAGACGCACCCATAAACAAATACATAATATATTTGACTAAATAAAACAACCAACTTTTCAGTTATAATTTATTTCATGGATAACTTTTATATGATGAATATTAGCCCTAAATAAATAAACTATGAAAGCTATGAATAATAGTCAAAACTTTAAAGCTATGTTGATATAAGTTTTCAGTTTATGCTGAGTAAGACGAAAATAATTGCTTACTGGGTGAATGTATGTATGTGGTTCATGTGAGGGCTAATATATATTCTGGAATCTATACTATTATTATAAATGTGAAAGTGTGTTTGTTTGTTTGTATGTGTGTTTGTTTGTTTGTCCTTCTTTCACGTCAAAAAGAAAAGAGTGATGGGTTGCTGTGATTTTTTGTGTGAAGATAGTTGGTGGGCTGGAGAGTGACATAGACTGCTTTTTATCGCGAAAGATTATTTTATTCTCACGGGAAAATATGTTATATCCCTTTACGACCGATTCAATACGAGCGTGACATTTGGTAAAAAAATTCTAATTCAAAATGTATTTGTTTTTGTGAACGCAATCGGCCTCACACGATAATGTTGATATATACGCTTTATTCAGAAATTAAAAGGACACGTTGTAATGTGTCCAGTGGTCGAAGGACCATCGACAAAGATGGCAGCGCGTTTTGGACATGGGTCTCGATCACATAAGTACATTTTTTTACTATATTTTTCATAGCTTGACATCTCTTTTTGTTATTAAAGTTTAATGTAGATAATACTTAACACAAAGCCGTAATTTGTGTTTTGATAGCATTGTTGTTCTTTTGTTTGTGATCTCTCAAACTTTCATCATCACGATCGTGATAATCCGGGTTTTAATTCATTTATAATTACGAAAAATGTATTTTTTCTAAAGCTCCTTTTTGACAGTACATGTAAAGTTTTATAATTTTATATTAATTTTAGGCGCAGTTTTGAGGGATGAAGAGGTTTTGGACCTCTTGCAAAATAGATATGCTCTTTAATATTGAGGTGCTACACGACGAAGGTGAGGATTTGATCGTTTCCTTTTTCAAAAATTTAGTGATAAATATCATCCAGAAGGTTCCTCCAGCACATTGGGAACTGTCTTCTGATGAGGTAATTACTGAAAATACGTCTGTTCGTCATTTGGTGTGTGGAGGCTATCATTATTTACTGATAAAGATCATAATTACCCAAGTCCACCCTCAGGACCAGTCAAGACACCTAGTGAGTATATTTATGACTATTTTGATAAGGAATTCATCGGACTGGCTGCTCCAATATCCATTATTTTTCATTTGCTCCAATATTTACTACCCAAGTAAAAACGGAAGATAATAAAGCTATGTTGATGGCGTCCAATTGTACTGGTGCTAAACATCAAGACTACGTTAAACGATGGGACAAACAAACAAAATCTTACAAGGATAATATTATTCCCAGGGTAGTTAGCAATTATATTAGTCACATGGGTGGAGTGGATGTTTTGGATCAAATAATGGATTAATAGCGTGTCTTCATAAAATCGAGGAAGTGGACTCTGAAGGTAATCATTCATTTTTTGGATTTAGCTTGTAGTTAATGCATGGTGGAAGTATAAAATAGATTGTGAAGCTAATAAACTTCCGAAAAAAAAATAGATCTTCTGAACTTTAAAATGGAAGTAGCAGATGCTTGGTTGAGTACTCCAGACCGCAAACGCCGATTAAGTCAAGACACAGATACTGGAGATGAGGCACCGCCTTTCAAGTATATGCCAGCAAGACATTGGAGAGTAAGCAAGCAAAGAGATATGATGGATATGATCATCTGCCAACCTTTGCACAGTTATCGGCTCAACGTTCCTGCAGATTGGAGACATGCACAAATAGGAGCAAAATTCGCTGTGTAAATACGATGTTTACTTGTGCATGTCGCGGGGAAAAGATTATTTCCGATTATACCATGCGAACTGCAATATCTAATAATTTTATTTGTATGTTACAAATAAAATTATTAGATATTGCAATTGATCTCAAAATGGTTCCTAGTATGTTAGTTATTTTTATGTTTTCAAAGGTTTAATCTAATTTATATGCTGAAGTTGCTCAGATTATATAATAAATACAAATATAGATAAGTTTAATACATACAAGTATAATTAAACCAAAAATATGTGCTCAATTATAAAGACTTATGTATAGATTACCAAATTATTTAATCACGGATATAAATGAAATTGATTATACTAGATTTTTATTTCATTAACCCAACTGCTTCCTAAAAAATCACCATCGTACGTAAGTCAATTTAATCCTGATCGTCACGATCGTGAGGGTACTTTTTTAAAAAAAAGGGGGGTACCTAATTTTTTTAAATATTTTTTTTAGGTTGTTTGAAGCCTAAATAACTAGAATAAATAAATCATACACGAAAAAATAAAAAATAAGTTCGCCGGTTGTAAAGGGATATTACAAACCAAAAAATTATATGTCATCAGAATTACTTGAAACTCGGTATTAATGCCCTTCAATAAAATTAACATGTTGCAATTTTCGAAATTCGTCCTTTAAGGGTGTAAAATAGGGGATGAAAGTTTGTATGAAACTACCTTATTTTATAGTTTTAGTGCAAGCGAAGCCGCGAGTTCTGCTAGTAATAAATAAAAAAAGCAGAAGAAAATCAACTAGTAGGTATACGTATGAAAAATGCTTTGATGTATGGGTCAAAACCAATCAAATGAGTCCAAATTCCAGTCCTAAGTTTTATAGTATCTATTAATTGAAGAGTTCGCTATGCAGTATGCATCTTTTAGCTTAATGTTCAAATTGGCTTGACTAAAATACTACATTGTTATCCGGACTACACATAGTTTTTAACCGACTTCCAAAAAGGCGGAGGTTCTCAATTCGTCGGAATCTTTTTTTATGCATGTTCACCGATTACTCGAAGACTCCTGAACAGATTTGGATTTTTTTTTTGCTTCAAAGGGTATACTTCCCAGGTGGTCCCATATAAATTTTATCGAAATCGGTTGAGCGGTTTTTAAAACAATCAACAATAAACATAAATTTTAAATAAATAGTTTAATCGAATAAGTATGTTATAAAAAAACTTCGTTTCTTCTTACAAATTACCTGCTTATTACGTCTACACTACAAATGGATAAATAAAAACTTAACAAAAACCAACTTCCAGGCACTAAAATGTAAAAAATAACTAAACGGGGGTTTTCATTTAGAATAGATACCTAATCAGATATTTTCGAAGTCGGACAATATTTTAAATATATTAGATTTGCTTGCATCGGCCGGCACCGACTTCGTTTTTTTTTAAGTTTTTCTTTACAGTTTCATATCGATTTGAAAGTTATAAGTAGTTTAAAATCGACTTCGAAGATTCGAATACATAGTCTTAAACTTTATCATCTGAAAGATGCCATATTTAACTTTTAGTATCAATGTGAAAGTTTGTATGTTTGTTACCCCTGCATGATAAAAAATCTGGACAGGGTTGGATAAAATTTGGTATACAGCACTATGACCTGGAGTAATAAACAGGCTATTAGTAAAGGCCTAGGGACGTACCCAAGCGAAGCAAGGGTACAACACTAGTTCTAAATATACTACCAATCTTGGTTAGATGATAAATGCGATATTCGAAAGCAATATTAATGTTTCGGGGAACAAGAGAAGGCGGTAATAAAAATCCCAGAACCGCCTTTTGGACTGTGATAAATTCGAGCTAATACTATCTTCGCAGAAGCCTCTTAGTCACGAAAACGATTTTTGTGTACCGAAAGAAGACGCTCAAATTTCTAAGTACATTTATTTATCTGATCGCTTCTGAAAGGTTTCTTTCATGTGTTCATTGTTCGTAAGAAAGCTATCTGTCAGGAACACGTGCACGTATCGAAACTTCTTATAAATGAGTTTTTGTTTGAATTAATATAACAAAATATGGCATTCCAATTGTTTTTGATGAATAGGAAAAAGCTATATTTGTAGAATACTCATCACTTTGTGACACTTCCGGGTTTTTATGCAAAATTTTTACTTCATAAAATGAACACATTTAGAAAATCAAATAAAACAAATGATCTGGTAGCGTCCTCATGAACTTATATGTCCATATTTAAATGCAAAAATATGTTAAAATATTGATTCAAAAGTGTTTGTAAACGTCTTGATTTGACTTGAAGCATAGGTTTAAATCGGTTCAAGAATGCATAAATCAGAATTCTTAATATCTTTAATATATAAGATTCTCGTGTCACAGTGTTTGTAACAAAACTTCTCCGAAACGGCTTGACCGATTCTTATGAAATTTTATGTGTATTCAGTAGGTCAAGAATAGGACGTAAACCATTTTTTTACCCCAAAGCGATAAGGGTGGTCCACCCCAAATTTTTATTTTTAATTTTTTGGACAAAAAATTTTATTTTATTTTTTTATGATTTGGCATTTACAAAAAAAAAACAAACCTAAATTATCTTTCTTTAATAAATATAAACTGATCATCCATTTTTACTGTCATTTATGTATAATTAATATCTTACAATGTATTTTTCAGGCTTTTCCTCAAGAAATCTACATTCCAAATGCCATAAATCCAATCAAAATGGGGACAAGCTTCAGCAGCGCCAACAGTCGAAAATGGTCAAAGAAAGAAGCTCCAAACCCTGAATCATCAAGAATTCTGTTCCTTCTATACCTCATACACAGGACCTGGAATGTTGTGGTGGAACACATGGATAACAAAAGCACCAGGTAAATTTTACAAGCTTTGAAGTATGATAAAATATATACGCAGCTTTTATGTCTTTGCATGTACAAGAATATTTTATGTACCTATTCAAATATCAATTTTCATTAGTTATTTCTCATACATTCATATTTTTATTTATATACTAGCGACTCACCCTTGCTCCGCTCGGGTTCGTCCCTGGTCACGTTTTAACGGTTAATATAGATTTCTCAGAGATATAATATTTTCCCACAGTAAAAAGTATCCTAAATGTTGACCCCCGTATAACCAGATAGCATCATACCAAATTTCATCAAAATCTGTTGAACGGTTTTCTCGTGATACGTTCCCAGACAGACGGACAGACAGACAAAAATTCTAAAAACTATAGATTCGGCCTCTATATCGATAATAGTGACTATTTCAATAAAAAATTTCAGAAACTATTTATGGTACAGATTCGGCTTAGTTTGAATTTTATTATATGTATAGATAGATAAAATAAAAGAAGAAAAGAAATAAATAGGGCTTCGTAACCATCTTATCCGGCGGATACTAGTTATACCGAGATAAAAGTATATAGCCTATAGGACTGTATATATAACTAAAAACTATCTACTCTAACTCTATGGAGAAAATCACGTTTTTTTGCACCATTCCTGCGTGCAAATAGGACAAAGCAACACACTTTCGTATTTTTTTATTAATATTACTTTACAATTAATCATATTCCTATCACCTTCATGCTTAAATGGCTGAACCGATTTGGATAAAGTTATAAACCTGCATGTCTGAGAAAACTTAGCAAGTTATCGAAAGATATGTGAAGAATGGACCATGGCCTGGACCCCATCATGAAGGGAGGTCCTTACCCAGCAGTAAGACATTAATAAGAGTTGAATGTAATTATTATACTACAAGCGTTTTCTCGCGGCTCCGCCTGCGTAATCAATTTTATGTATCACTATTTCTTTAGAACTTATAGCCTTAACCTTTCTTAATACATAAGCAATAAAATGCAAAAATACAATACAAAGTAAAATCGAGCCAGTATATCCAGAAATAAGCACATTGAAACAAAAGAACAAACAAACAAACAAACAAACAAACAAACAAACAAACAAACAAACAAACAAACAAACAAACAAACCATTGCTTTATAATTTATACCAGTATATTAGGACACATTAAGTAATGATAAATAATAAAATTTACAGATGGCGCGAATCACATCCATCGAGCTCTGGAGACGTGCGGCACTTCGACTCAGTCAGCCTCGACACTGGTTCTTGCTACTCAGCGTGCAGCTGCAGCTACTGCAGGCTGAGAGACTGCGCCCACGACTGTGTCAGGTAAGAAATAGTAATATAATAATTAATTTTTACTGAAATAAACAACGATTTTAAACAATCTATGCATCTTAACTTTAGCGGTGGATATATTTTTTTTAATTTTATATGGTTAGACTATTCATTAAAGGCAGAATTATGAAAATTAGTTACAATTGGTATTAATATTGGTCGACTGCGTCCCTAGCTACGTTTTAATACCAGTGAGAGTCCTATCAAAATCGATCCAGCCATTTCAGAGATTAGCCGGAACAAACAGACTGACAGGCGAAAAAAAATAAAAATTGTGTGTTTTCTTAAAGTAAAAATCTGTTATTTAACATTACGAACTGGCAATTTTATTTATCTGTATATATATTCAACTATAATATAGTTATATTCATATAATAGATACATACCATCTATTTCAAATAATACACATATATGAGTCCCAAGAGAGTAACTTGTAACTTGTACAAACCAGATACTATGAATTAGTTACCATTGGTTAGAATAACTAAGTAGTGAAACCAAAGACCGTCTGTGTAGTATCCTCAGACTATCTCATATAATAAAATTGTAACTAAGCCGAATCTGTACATTAAATATTTTTTTGGAAAATCTCATTGAAACAGACATTATTATCGATACAGAGACCGAATCTATAGTTTTTAGAATTTTTGTCTGTCTGTCTGTTACCGCATCACGAGAAAACCCCTGGACAGATTTTGATGAAATGTAGTATGATGCTAGCTGGTTATCTGGGTCAACATATAGGATACTTTTTACTGCGGGAAAATATCTCATCTCTGAGAAATCTATACTAAACGTTAAAACGTAAATTTGGACGAATTCGAGCGAAGCCAGGGTAAGTCGCTAGTAGAATTATATAGACGGAGACTGCCAAAAAAAGAGAACGGTTTTCTACGTAGATTTTACCATACCATATCGTTTATTTTCTTCATAGAATTGTTATTAAGTAATAAGATTAACTTGTAGGTATATAATTTTAAAAAAGTAATTAAGCTTACGAGTATACCTATATATAGCATGTAAATGATAAAAACTAAAGTATGTATTTAATACTATTTAGTATTGAAATTTACTTAGAAACGTCTCTACCATAGAATTTTATAATCTCATTAATCTCTACATCAGAATAGAAAAATCAAAAGGTTATAGGCATTCAGCAATAAATAAATGGAATAGGGACATCGATGACTTTCTTATTTATTATGAGGTATAGTTATTAGGTACTTACATTTTCGCTGTACCTTAAATATGGCGAACTACTGTGTTTATCGAACGTTTCATATCGAAACAGAAAAGAGACTGTCGATCCGAAAAAAAATATAAAGATGATTGTGAGTTTAACTTCAAAGAAAATATTTTTATTCAACCTGCAGCTTTGCTTCCGTTATTATGTGAGAGATATAAACACACTTTTATAGTCACTTATAATATTAAGAAGAATGTCGAATTTACGTATTTTCCTAAATTGATAATTTTAATTAATATTTTATTAGATACTTGCGGTTCGCGGGAAAAACAAAAACAAATCTATCCCGTCGTAATCGTAAATCGTATCCCGGGAACCGTACATTTATTCGGGATAAAAAGTAGCATGTGTGCTGTTCCAGTCTACAATCTATCTCTGTGCCAAATTTCATCCAGATCTGTCTAGCTGTTCTGGCGTGATTGTGTAACAAACATTTACCTTTCACATTTATAATATTAGTAAGATTCCTGCGATGAGAAAACCCAATACGTATGTATGTTCCCTCGTAATTACTAAATGGTTAAAGCGATGTTGATGATTCATACGTCGTTAGATTTGTTTTGATAACGCGACTTTCATAGGGAATAAATGTGGATAACATTTAAAATCTAAATGGCGGATCGATGACATTCCATACGAATTGTACCCCATTCGATACAAATAAATAATAATAAAAAACACAAATATTAATTTTAACCAACTGTCTCAAAAAGAGTATTAAGTCATACATTGTTATTCTTGTATAATTTTTTATCTGTATAAGAAATTAATTGTTAGCTTGTTATAAATAAATTGCTTAAAATGTATTTATTTTTATTTCCACGTACGTAAATAAGAGTAGGAGTATAATGTAAGTAAGCGTGATGAACAGGAGGCCCTAATTTAAGGGGCGACGCTCGAAATCCAGGCCCTCATATATGATAGGCCCCCACAACAGAAACTTCGAGATCATGTTCGTTGTGTTAAAAAATTTTTACTGTAAATATAAATACTAATCGAGAGTTGGAATAAAAAAAAGTTATTTTTGGGCCCCTATACTTTTAAATCTGGCCTTGGGGTGACCCACTTACTAATATAATATTATTCAATAGTTTCATATACAAAAAATGTCTTTATAAACCCAGAGAAAGAAATATCTATTATGGTAATACAAAAAAAAGAAAAAAAAGAAAAACGAGTCACGTCATAAACAGTAGCAAGTAAAATAATGACATAAGTAAGATAAATATGATTAAATCTTCACATTTATCTTATTAGGATGCAGATATCATACTGCAGCATCCCATTAGATTATTAGTGTAAGATTCAGATTCCAATCACTCTAGAATCTGCATTTCATGTGTGTTAATTTATACAGAGCTTTAAGTAAATTATATGTGAATTGCTCCCGTAATTTTATCTTCTTTAGGCTAAGTTTTCTTTAAAAGCACGTAAATTTGTGGATAATTTAATAATTAATAGACTTCTTAGAATTAATAGATTTCTTAGATTTACGCGAATACTTGACATTGTAAATAAAACTATCTTTTCGGATTTTTTCGCGAATTCATTTTGATTTTTGGTTCCCAAAAACTCAAAGTTGGGATAATACTCTTTATTGTACACCAAACAGAAAAAACATACAGACAGTAATTAAAAATTAACAAAGATGCCTACTGTAGGCAGCCTTATCGCTTAAAGCGATCTCTTCCAAGCAACCAACTACCAGGTAAAGGAGAGTGTGAGAGAAATGGTAGGCGGTGGATAGTTTTATTTAAAATTAAATAGACTTTTAGATGGTTAGTAATAGCTGCCTTAGTGGTCTAGTGGCTAGCATGTTCGGTTGCATATCCTAGGCCCTAGGTTTGAGTTCCGGGTCAGACCAAGATTATCTCTCGTGTCGTGTTGTGTCTATATTTATCTCAAAGGAATTTGAAAATGAAAGTAATAAAGAGTGCACTTGAGTTTACACTCTCACATACTTCTCAGTAACATTTGCCACCGAAAACGACTTCGGTCCGGAAGTCATTATTATTATTAATCAATACCCTATTAAAAGTTAATTAGTATAAAATAAAAATAAATAAGTACTTAGAAAATGATAGAGTTTGTGTACCTAATTCGTTTCTCAGCTTAGAAGTTTATTTTCAAACAACATGTAAACAATTTTTACTGTCATATCTCATTTTGAATATTGTCACGTAGATTTCACGTAACAACACTAATATAGTCTACCTAGAACATCTACCACGCTTCTTTATAGGTTTTATTATCACTATTTTAGTATAAAACAAATTCTAATAATTTATGTGCCAGTACCTGAACAAAGCGAGAATAAGACGTTAGTATCCTAGTTAATATAAATATGAAAGTTTGTGAGGATGAATGGATGGATGTTTGTTACTCTTTCACGCCAGAACGGCTGAACGGATCTGGATGAAATTTGGCACAGAGATAGATTATAGTCTGGAATAGCACATAGGTTATCCCGAAAAAAATTACGGCTCCCGTGGGATAGATTTGTTTTTTTCTAAGTGAGGGTCTCTAGTAGCCCATAAAAGTATTTAAAGCTGATTATTTGTATTTTCCTTTATTTTTAAACGTGTTTAAGCGTACGTACTCAAAGCCAAATAAAAGAGGGCCGTTGAATTTGTAACATTATAGCATTATTAACGAAGAAAATTTAACTTTTCTCATTACATTGTCTTCTTTAATTTTAAGAGAGAAAACTTAATTGGTTAGACCAAATAAATGAAACAGCTTTTAAGAAAACCCACTCGAGGTAGTAGAATGTAAGGTATTAAACTAAATTACAACTAAAGTGCAGCTGACGGTTTCTTTCAAAAGACTAACCTAACTCTTAAATGTCTTGGAGTAATGAGCCCTGTTTGTTAGAGAATTTTCTAATGCTATTAACCGGCTTCTTAGAAAGAAAGTTATCTTAATTTCTACCTATATCATTATTCATTGCGTACCTTATACGTATTTAGATGTTTTGCTAAGTGCTTTCATAGAGTATTATTATTATTAGCCATTTATTTATTTATTTATACTTTATTGTACACCCAATCATAAAGTAAATACAAGTAAACACAATATCAAAAAAAAAATGCCATTCTATGGAATTGCCAAACAACGAGCCTATACAGCTCAAAAAAATCTCCGCAATCCCAAAGCCTTCAAGTACGACAGTCCGGTACTAGACAAACCCATTTCAAAGCCCTAATTACGAGATATCACAAAAACTTTACTGCAGAGTTGCTTCAACTCAACAAGTTTAAAATCTGTGCAGTAACCAAAATACTCACTGGCCACTACAAACTTTAACATTAATAAAAAAAGGTTAATAAACATACGTTTAATCTCAAGGGATTAAGTAAAATTTTTAAGTGACGGGTCTTCGAATGCTCCGTGTTTTGACAGATATAAAATGTCAAATATTCACGTAAACCTACAAAACCTTTATCATTCGCACTTCTGTGTCACTAACACATCTCAAAGAAACGAAAATCTGTTAAAGCTTTTTTATCTATTTTCTATCCCACAGATATCTACGCAGAAGCAGTCTTTTGTGTCTCGGGATGAAATGTAACCTATTGTATTTATGTACTTTTGTTCGAAAAATGTTTAGTAAAAACTGTGAAAACACAAATCTCAAAATCAAGACATTTCCGGAATCATTTGGAATACTATATTAATTTTAGTCCGGTTTATTTGTTATCCCGGATAGACAGTTTAGAACATGCATAGTGCTGATTTTTTATCAT